CTCGCAGTCTAACTGGACATATCGGTCTGACTAAATAACATTAATATAGGATCAGCCTAACTTTTTATTATAGGATCACAGTCCAACTAGACAGATCGGTCTGACTAAATAACATTAATATAGAATCAGCCTAACTTTTTATTATAGGCTCACGGTCCAACTGGACAGATCAGTCTGACTAAATAACATTAATATAGGATCAGCCTAACTTTTTATTATAGGATCACAGTCCAACTAGACAGATCAGTCTAACTAAATAACATTAATATAGAATCAGCCTAACTTTTTATTATAGGCTCACGGTCCAACTGGACAGATCAGTCTGACTAAATAACATTAATATAGGATCAGCCTAACTTTTTATTATAGGATCACAGTCCGACTAGACAAATCAGTCTAACTAAATAACATTAATATAGAATCAGCCTAACTGTTTATTATAGGCTCACAGTCCGACTAGACAGATCAGTCTGACTAAATAACATTAATATAGGAACAGCCTAACTTTTATTATAGGATCACAGTCCAACTAGACAGATCAGTCTAACTAAATAACATTAACATAGAATCAGCCTAACTTTTTATTATAGGATCACAGTCCAACTGGACAGACTAGTTTGACTAAATAAAATAAATACAGAATTAATCTAACTGTTTATTATAGGCTCACAGTCCAACTGGACAGATCAGTCTAACTAAATAACATTAATATAGGAACAGCTTAACTTTTTATTATAGGCTCACAGTCCAACTAGACAGATCAGTCTAACTAAATAACATAAATATAGAACCAGTCTAACTTTTTCCCATAGGCTTGAAAGAAAAGGAGACGACGTTTCAGCCTCAGTACTGAGGCTTCCTTTAGGTCTGAAGAAGGCCTCAGTATAGAAGCTGAAACGTGGCCTCCTTTTCTTTCAAGAAGTCATAGTCCATTAAAATTCTTAAACCTACTACTATATACATATGTTTGTTTGCCGCACAAAGCTACGCAGTGGACCATCTGTACTCTGTCCACCGCGGGTATCGAAACCCGATCTTTAGCGTTATAAGTCTTCAAACTAACCGCTGACCCATCAGGTGACTTTATACTTATAAAAAACAGTTATATGCTCTTTAGTTTATATTTGATAAAATTGATCCTATTGTTCGGGAAAGAGTTGTATTTTTAATATCAATGAAGTTTGAAATTCTGTCAGATGAAAGTTAAAATTTGTTTGAAGACATTAAATTTTGTATATTTCCGTAAAAATAAAATCAAGATTGTATAAAGATAATGCCACGTTTTCAAAACGCCAGCGGAAGGAGGATAAAAGCAAACAAAAATATTATACTCTGTAGTAATCTTTTGCATAAAAACCAAGACACGGGTTACTTGACCAAACATTTCTTTAATAATTAACTTAATATTACTTAAAAGTTATAACTATAGAAATTACTTTTATTCAAGATTTTATGTTAAACATATCCGATAAAAATGTGCACATACTTGCCGACACAGTGGCCAGCAGTTAGAATCCATCGAGAAGTAATTAGAGTCCCACCGCAAAAAAACACCTCATCCGGACCTCCATAGAGCGCCACCAGCCACGGTGAAGTTCCCGGAATACTCTCGTACCCACCGACTATCCTCCAAGAAGCAGACGATGGTAACAACGGCACAGTTCGACCACATTCTATCAAGGATATATTTTCCCAGTAATTTCATTTCCGCCATTCCTGTTTACTCAAAATTCTAGTGCTTCAGATAGATATTCTTTAACTAACAGGTTTATTCAGTAAACAAATAATTCCGAGCATATTTGCTCCATCAGTTTAAACCAATACTGTACGATACGAGCACCAGTAAGCTTAGTATATTGTTCACTACTAAAATATTTCATGAAATATATCTTACAAAATTAAATATACACAGTTACCTTGAAATTATTCAATCACTTATCTGTATATTCATATGTCTAAATAGGTGTCTGTACAAAGCTCTTGTCTTATTTATGTTTAAAATGTAAACTTTAAAAAGTAGGGCTGTTAGTGATAAAGGCTTTTTTTTCTTTCAGTTTTAAACTTTCATCAATAATTTGATTTATAAAAACAACAACACAAAAGATACAGTTAGAAATCTTCTATGGTTTGAAACTATAAGTTTTTGAGAACTATTCTACTGTTATTAATCATTCAATGTGCATATTTCGTTTTTGGAATTAACTATTAATTACTGTCATTCGAATAATAAATAAAAATGAAGTGAACTGACTGATATTTTATGATAAGTTAAATTATCTTGAGAAAGAACCAGTTATTTCCTAAAGTACGTTACTAGGAGAATGGTCCAACATGTTTCATATTTTGCTGTTACATTCTGAGAGGAAAATACTCGAAATGAAAATAACACTAATCCGTTTTAGGGCGCCCTCTGTTGGCAAACTTGAAACCTAAAATCCACTAAACAATTCTCAAGAAGTAACATTAAAGGTTTCACGAGACGTGTAAATCCTCAAGCTTTAAAAACAGCTGGTGATCTTTTTTTTTTTTTGTATATTTAGTATATGTATCCTTTATTGGATTATTTATTATTTTATTATGCAACATTACAAATATTATCATAGATTTAATGTTTCTTTCTTTTAAATTTTTGGCCCAAAGCTACACAAGGGCTATTTGCACACAGCCATCTCTAATTTTGAACTGATAGACTAGATCAAGCTGAACTTTGTTTTTTTGTTGTTTCATATACTCTGAGAGGTTCTTAATGAGAACCGATAATCAAGCTGAACTTTGTTTTTTGTTGTTTCATATTCTCTGAGAGGTTTTAATGAGAACCGATAATCAAGCTGAACTTGTTTTTGTTGTTTCATATTCTCTGAGAGGTTCTTAATGAGAACCGATAATCAAGCTGAACTTTGTTTTTGTTGTTTCATATTCTCTGAGAGGTTCTTAATGAGAACCGATAATCAAGCTGAACTTTGTTTTTTGTTGTTTCATATTCTCTGAGAGGTTCTTAATGAGAACCGATAATCAAGCTGAACTTTGTTTTTTGTTGTTTCATATTCTCTGAGAGGTTCTTAATGAGAACCGATAAAAACCACTCTGCAACTTTGGGGTGTTTTTAAAAAAGCTAAAATATTACTCTATCTCTTGTGGCTTTTTAAAACCTGAAGAAAATAATCCTGCTACCTTTAGATCCTAACTAGAACATTTATTTGATAATATGGCCCCTTTACAAGTCTAGGGCCAGGCATGGCCTGGTGGTTAGCACCGTCTCACCACATATCTAGATATAAAAAATAAAGAAAAAATAGATATTCACGACTCTACATCAAACAGTCAGAAGCCTCCTCGAAAACGAAGATCTGAGATTAAAAAAATTCTATTTCAAAACCACTGTTTGTTTATTGGCATTCAATATATACTGTTTGATCCTAAACATTCCGACAGATGACATCAAGCGGTTCAGTGTTTGTTTTAGAGCAAAGCCACCGCGGGGAATCGAGCCCCAGGTTTTAGTGTTGAAAGTCCGTAGTCTTACCACGGGGTTAACTGCTACAGTATATAACATTTTTAAATCAGAATTAATTTTTAAGGGTTTTACTCTTGCCATTTGTGACGATATAGATGTCGAGCAAGTTGAAGAAGTTAGGTCCGAGTTCTTGAGGCCACTTCACATTTATATGCTGCTGATACACCATACATTTTGTTAAGTTTTGTTATTAAGCGAACTGTAAAGGCAACAGGAATACATTTTTCAGTCAGATCTTCAGCTTTTTAAAGTATAATAAACCCTGGACACATAAAAACGTCCACTGACTTACGTGACATTTACACCAAACAAGCAAACCCTTCAAGTGAGCCTTAAAGTGGACCCATCTATAAGCCATGTTATGGAAAGTTGCTGACCAGTAACAGCCGTCATCGCTGTACCTAAAGGAAGGAGTGTCTCATCATGTTTAAACAAATAAATCTGCAGCTTCATGAGATCTTATGAAAGTTACACATCTAACTCATCATACGGCAGAAAACAATGTAGGGTGAAAAGCTTTGCTAAGTTCTCGATGACCGATGTAACGGCGAGTACACTGCTAAGTTCTCGATGATAGATGTAACGGCGAGTACACTGCTAAGTTCCCGATGATAGATGTAACAGCGAGTACACTGCTCAGCCACCGATGACAGATGTAACAGCGAGTACACTGCTAAGTTCTCGGTGATAGATGTAACGGCGAGTACACTGCTAAGTTCCCGATGATAGATGTAACAGCGAGTACACTGCTCAGCCACCGATGACAGATGTAACAGCGAGTACACTGCTCAGTCACCGATGACAGATGTAACAGCGAGTACACTGCTAAGTTACCGATGACAGATGTAACGGCGAGTACACTGCTCAGCCACCGATGACAGATGTAACGGCGAGTACACTGCTCAGCCACCGATGACAGATGTAACGGCGAGTACA